CATTGGTAGTTGGTTCAAATGTAGTATTTCATCTGGTAGTCAAAATCGAATACTTGGTGCATTTATGATAATTTTTTATCTTGGTGGTGGGAATAGGTAAAAACTTAATTATTAGAATGCATATAAGATATAACTATACCTACGCACATGGTCGAGTTTGCACGACACCGTTAGCGCATACCTTGATTACAATATATATGGATCAGCCCTGTACAAGCATGAATGTTTCATGGGTGGTACTAGACTTAAACGTCAAGGGCTCGACCACAAGTGCGAGCACCACACGGTCTATATTGTTGAATTCATGTTTTATGGACAAATGCGTCATTTGATAAAAATAAAACAAAATATTCTAAAAAGAACATATAAAATTTGAATTAATGAGTAGTTTTTCACATCAACGTGTGACAGCTCATATTCTAAAAGGTTTATAAAATACATTCATTAATTATTTAGAGACTCGAACTTTTTTCAATGTATACAACTAAACACTCATTTATAAATTCTTGATTAAATTCATAGCTGATAAGTTTTTTTTACTACTTGCAGTAATAACAAACAACGTCAACAATAATTTTAGAAGCAAGTAAAGTGAAGAAAAAAATTGAGATTTAGTATCTCTTTGCAAATGTGTGTGTGTTTGGAGGGGGGAGATTTTTTTTGGTCTAAATTTTTTGAAGAAGTGGTTAAAACTCATATATCATTTGTTCAAATATTGCATATTGAATTGGAGTATTGAAGATTTAGAAGCGATATATAATTCTTAAAGTAGTACCAATTTTCAGCCTGGTTGACCAATAGCCTTGGACCTCTTGCTAATATGACATGATTGGATCCAATAATCATAAGATGAGATTTAGTTTTATATGTCAGTTCAAAACCATTTTTGTGTGTAATGAATTTGTACGAAAAATACATGTAAATCAGTGAAGATAAACTTGATTATGCATTTTGATTTGTTAGATAACTAAAATTGTTTAAGAGATTAACTAACTATACACTCACTCGATTGGTTTAACGAGTTTTGTTTTTATCACTTTTAGTAATTAGTTTATTCACATGCTATCAAACTACTTTGCTCCGTCAAAAAATAAGCGGTCATCTATTCATCAGGTTTCAGGTGCTCTGATTCACACTATTATTGACTGTGAATGGAGAAGAAGTATTTCCAGGTTCTAGGTTTCTCTCGATTCGAGAGAGTGAGAAGAAAGAGGAAGGAAAAGAGGGAGAGTGATGAGATACAAAGCTGAGAGAGAGAGATGGAAGAACAAAACGGAAAAAGAAAGAGGAAGGCAATGAGAGAGTGAGATTATACATTTAAAAGAGAAGGAAAATGAGGTAGTGTGAAATAATTGTTCTTCTGCTTTGCTTAGTGAGTATTGTTGATCATGTTATGTTGAATTTTGATTTATTAGAGGGAAACATTATATTTGACAGATTTTTTCCATTTCAATTTAAAATCCTAAATCAATATTATCGTTTGAAAATTTTTTCCTTAATACAATTATTGTAGTTTCTGAGATTTAAGAGGTATTCGATAATATCAATATTTTAGTGATGTTTTATTTTAAGTTTGAATTGAAAGATCGTACGTACCGACGGTTCGATCATAAAACCTCACATCATAGGCTAAATCGGTGGTGATATTTAGCAATATGAAACGGTTGAACCACAGTTAAATTACGACTTCAGTATAAAATACTCTTCCACCAACTTTTTTATACAATTTTACAATCATTGGTTCAACTAATTCTTTTACACCGGTGGAAACAAAAGTTAGAAAGCACATTTTGAACTATCTATTGCAAAAAAACATAAGTTAGTTAGCGATAATGCATAATTCAACCCAAAAGACACTTTGCAACTTCTATCTTTTTAAAATAAATGTATGCTACTCATACCCTCGCTTATTCATCAACTTAATGAGTAACATATATTTCATGTAATATGATTTTCATAGGTTTGTATTTAGTTAATTATTTCATGAAAAAAATATTTCCTCCGTGAAAAATACTACATTGTTGCTAGACATGTCTGCAATCTAAGAATAATATGGGAAGTCCGTACAGAACACATTGCCCAACTAACTATTAGTGATAGCATCATATCCTATATACTTCAAATCAAGTAACTTCATATTTATTACAAATGGTGTGGTAAAAAAATGAATGCTCTTTATTGGAAAAAAATTAAAGGACCTACTGAACTTTGTGAGACATTTTCTTTGGTCATAAAGGTTAATTATGTATTATGAGAAGCAACTTTAATATTCAACTATATGATTTAATTCAGTAATGAATGAAAATTAGTTTTATTTTTTTTTCATCCAATAATTATATGTAATGCTTATATCATTTCCCCCCCCCCCCCTCTTTTCATAGAGGTCTAAACCAGGGCCGACCAAGAGGGTGTGCTGGCCCGCCCTCCGGCACAGGGCCTCAGAATATTAGGGGCCTCTACTTAGATTCGTTAGTTACCAATCGTATATTGTAGGTTGTATTTTTAGTGTATGATTGATTGATTATGAGTATGATGATGTGTTTAATAGATAATTTTAGCTATAATAACAATTGAAAAGGATCTCACGTAGAATACGAAAATATGAAAAATAATAGATAACTTTAATTTAAACAATATAGAAAGATATTACATTTTGAATAATGTTATTATAATCATTTTAGTTTTATTATAGTTAAAGGTCGATTTGGACCACGTCTAGATTTTGAAATAGGGCCTCCACGATCTAGTAGACGACCCTGCACCCACCTCTCGTTCAATTTAGACTATTTTCATTTCTCCATTCAATTTTTGCGCTATATCCATTTTCTCTTCCTTCCAGATTTACTTTCCTCCCTACTAAGGATGGGAATTCGGACTTGTTTTCTTGGTCAAACTGGAAACGAGATCGTTTATTTCTTATGTAATCTTTTTTTGAACTTAAGTATTTTTTTATAATTATTTACTAATTTTTAATTTTGATAAAATTTATGGGAAAAAAATTAGGGTCACATTTTAAATTTTCGAACAGGGCCTCCAAATATCATGGGACGGCCCTGATCTAAACATATTATGCATCGTTGGATCACTTTAAAAAATATTGTGTGCATAACTAAGATACAAAACACTCATTACATGCATTTCAAATCATCTATTACATCCATTATGCATAGTCCGGCCTGTACTAGTATATTAAAAGGAAGAAAGATCCAAGTACCAACCAAAAACAAAAAGGAGAGATCACAAGGTCTGATCTAGGGGTGAGCAACCGGTTCGGTAAACCCAAACCGAATCGAAACCGAATTAAACCGAACCAAAACTGACTTAATGCTATTCGGTTCGGAATTCGGAATGAAAATATTGATAGTTCGAAAACCAGGGTTCTCTCAACCGAATCGAATTACCAAATTTCCGACCGAAAAACCGAAATACTATAATTGCAAGCTCCAAATGGTGGATGTTTAGATTTTAGTTGTTTTGAGACTTAACTATTTGAAATATTTTATGACTTATGTGTTGAAAAGTTTGATTTTATCATTGATAATGTATATAATTACATATTTATTGTTTATATTAGGGGTAAAAAATAATTTAAAAGTGAGAAGATACAAGTAGCTTCACAAATTCGGTTTTGTGTGAAAAACCAAACCGAATCCAGGGCCGGCCAAGAGGGTGTGCTGGCCCGCCCTCCGGCACAGGGCCTCAGAATATTAGGGGCATCTACTTAGATTCATTAGTTACCAATCATATATTGTAGGTTGTATTTTTAGTGTATGATTGATTGATTATGAGTATGATGATGTGTTTAATAGATAATTTTAGCTATAATAACAATTGAAAAGGATCTCACGGAGAATACGAAAATATGAAAAATAATGGATAATTTTAATTTAAACAATATAGAAAGATATTACATTTTGAATAATGTTATTATAATCATTTTAGTTTTATTATAGTTAAAGGTTGATTTGGACCACGTCTAGATTTTGAAATAGGGCCTCCACGATCTAGTAGACAACCCTGCACCCACCTCTCGATCAATTTAGACTATTTTCATTTCTCCATTCAATTTTTGCGCTATATCCATTTTCTCTTCCTTCCAGATTTACTTTCCTCCCTACTAAGGATGGGGATTCGGTCTTGTTTTCTTGGTCAAACTGAAAACGAGATCGTTCATTTCTTATGTAATCTTTTTCTGAACTTAAGTATTTTTTTATAATTATTTACTAATTTTTAATTTTGATAAAATTTATGGGGAAAATAATTAGGGCCACATTTTAAATTTTCGAACAGGGCCTCCAAATATCATGGGACGGCCCTGACCGACCCAAACTGAATTATAATTCAGTTTAAACCGACCGAACTGAATTATAATTTTGTTCGAATTCGGTTTGAGATTTGGGAGAATTAGGGGACCCGGTATTCGATTCGGTCGAAACCGAACCGACCGAATGCCCACCCTAATCTGATCTCTGATCTCACCCTGGAAAGTACAGAACATGGGAAAGGTGGTTTCCTTTTATCTTTGGGGTAGATTTGAATGAGCGATGATAGAGTACATAATGCTTTCACCTATTTGATCGTTGAATTGAAAAAAAAAAAAAATATATATATATATATGTGGAAAGCTTTTCTAATCCATATAAGTTTAAAGAGTATGGTTGAGAAACACGATTATAAGACTGATACAAATAGCAGGTGACAGTCCATGTACAACCAGACTATAGATGAAAGTAACTGTGACAAAGTGAGAACCTCTGTAAAAATCTTAAAAAGCAAAATATGTGAACAAAACGGAAAAAGCACATGAAGGATATACACTCCATTTAGAAGAACCTATGAAAAATCAACTACTTCAAAGGCCACAAACAAGTTGTATTTGTTGAATAACTAGTTCCATTCCAAGCACCAACAAAAGAGATTTTCTTCCCCTGAATTGGAATTTCGAGTAATTGTGCCAAAACTCTTGAGTGATCTCCATCTCCATCCCATTCACATGGAATGATAAGCAATGGACATTATTCTTCTCAGTATAATGTAAGGCGGTTGTTGTAGAAACATTGTACCATTTGACACATCCATTTTAACTAGAGATAATTAAACAAAATACCTTACTAAGGAATATATATGAAAGGTGTTTTTCTTTATCTCTATCAATCCAAACTACACAATTTAGCGCCATACCCGTTTCAAGATAAATTCATGACACAATGTCTCCCCTTTGAACAATATACCTATTTCAACAATATTAGATCCAAACGAGCCATACGAATGGTTCATCGCCTTCGAATTTCGTAACAGCGTGTGGAATCTGGGAGCTGCAGAGGGCAACTCCGCCTACCAGAAAAATCGCTAGTTTGAGCCTTGCTTTACCAGTGCATGTATGCTGGTACTGGTGTTTTTTTATACTGGAGGTCCTACAATCACAGGCATATAATGATGGTCAAGTGGGAAGTGAATGATGAGGAAATCCAAGACTAATGAATCTAAACGTCAAAGAGGGACTCAAGAAGAAATGTTGAGAGAGTGATTAGTACTTGGTAGCCCTACAAGTATCGATAATCAGGCAGTCAGTCCCAGCTGTCTCGACCTCTTCTAAAAGCTTTCTTATCCGAGATAACCTTCTTGCTTTTCAATCTCTTCTGCTCACCTATGGCAGCTCTTAAAGCCCCCAAAACACGTAAGGAAACAAATGCATCACTTTTCTTCCATATCAAGCAGACTGCATCAAGATAATTGAAAATAGCACTTACAGCTTTGCAATTTTCTTCTTCTGCTCTTCTGAAGGAGGTGGTGGAACATAAGAAGCGGCATCAATGATTGCCTGGTCAATTTTATGAGAACAAAAGCAAGAACAAACAGTTCGATTAAATTGTACTCTAATGTAGACCTTATTTGTTTAGATTATGACCAAATTAAGGAGAGAATACTTCATTACCTGCAGTTTTGCCAAAGCATCGTCAATATTACCCCTGAGGACAAGTAGCAATGAGATAAGTGCTTAAGAGTTTAGACAAGAATAAGCAGAGGATGGAAGAAATGACTGCAAGAAGAAATCTAATCACCAAGGAATCAAAAACTAACTTCTGAGTCCTGGTCTTTGTTGAAGAGATGACAATTTCACCATCTTTGTTGATTCTGTTCTTTTCCTGCCGTACAAAGAGAAATATTATCTAAACTACAGAGAAGGCTAGAGGAAAGAAATCAAGAAGAACAGTGGAGCAGCAAGACAATCAATTTATTAACTAGTTACATCTAACCATACTCAACAATGTCCTCACAAGAAGTCATGTAAAGCAGATTCAAGCAATTATAGGAACCCAATTAATAATTTCCTATGTTCTTATTTCCCTCTCTCACTCCAGTTTAGCTACTGATCTTTAGTTGGACTAAGATTCAAAACCCATATATAGTAGATGTTAGGTTTCACATTGTGTTTCCGTGTCATACGAGTCAAGGAAGCAGAGGCAAACCGTTTGCAATATCTTCTCCCTGATCCTCTCGCTTAGCCAGTATGCATTCTTAACATTGAATCGCATGTCCACCTTGGTGTTCACTAAGAAAGGCAACAGCAACAGAACAAGGTTATGTTTAGGTAAGCACGCGAAACACATCTGATTTCGAGTAGAGTGAGCCAGGAGACAAAGTTAAGCTGAAATACCTTTGTTCACATTCTGACCTCCAGGGCCACCACTTCTAGCGAAGCTAACAGCTACGTGGTCTGTATATGCGTCACAATTCGGTCATTAGGACCACTAATAACATTGCAAATGAATCACAATGCCAGAAGGAGGACGATTTTGGACCATTTCAATTGAGACTGCTAAACCATATAGTAACAAGAAATGGATATCTTGAAGCCAAGCCGCACACCATTATAAGACGCACTAATCATACACATAGATTAGAGTTAAGCAAATGAAATGAGATTCTAGGGTTTGCCTACTGGTCTGGTCATCGCTAATCTTGAATTCTTGATGGATGCCACAAAAATGTGCAGCGAAGCAATCACCGAATCGAGATAGTATCAGGGAGAAAACCATAAATGGATCGAGAGTTTCCTGGAAGTACCGAGAGTGATTCGAGGAGTAGGTTCGTCGCTGGCGAAGCTAGCCCGTTCCTCGGCTTCATGGAGTAGCTGCTGAACTTGCGATAGTCGAGCGGAGACCTTCTTGTCGTCGGAGGACGCTGCCGCGCAGATGAACTTGGCGGAGCTGATTTTCCGATGGGTGAATTGAAGAGCGGTGGAGCTCAACGGCGAGAAGGACAGCGGCGTAAAGGAAGAAGAAAGGAAATGGCGGGAATTGAAAGCTCGGAGAATCATGCTGGTTGTGGCTCTAGCAACGGCCATCCTTTTTCCCCCAATTTTTTCTTCTCCTCTTTTTTTTGTGGGCGTTTCATTTTTATACCTCTGGTTCTAAATTCTAATGACTCTTATCAGAAAGGGCGGTTAATTGGTTTTACAATTTACGCTACTCTTGTTATTGCAGTGACACGATCTATTTTTTTGGGTTTTGTAAGAGTTTTTTTTTTTTTTTTTTTTTTGTTATTTATGTAACTTCTTATTGCAGCTTACAGTTGCTTCTATTTTTGCTCAATGGAATGGAGATTTTAACAGGAACTTACGTGGAATTTGATATAAATGAATTCTATAAATTTTAAGCAATTCATTGAGAAATGAAATCTTTTTTTGTTTGGTATTTAAAAGAATTCATTTCCAATTCTAAATTTTGAATTCTACGGAATTGGAGCTAGTTATAGCAATTCTGAGGAATTGAGATGGAATTTCCAAATGAATTCCACAAGAATTTACTAATTATAACAAAATTACAATATTATCCTCATTTATTAACTAAACTAATTCTACATGTATTATTTTTTACGTCAGTTCATGCAATATGAGGAACGTCGGCCAGAATTTGATTGCCGCGCTAGTAGCATATTCTTGTTATTTGATATTTATGCTTTTATTATATCAATATGTTGAGAAGCCACAACTAGAGTGTAGGGTTCATTGACAAGATATCGAAAGAACTAATGAATAGAATAGAAACACACAAGAACACTTTGATATTCTACATATGGGACCAAAAACATTTTTTAGAAGATGGATTTTCAATGAATATTGTTTGTAGCGAAAATTAATAAGGGCGTAGTTTGAAACTTTTAATTTAATTCAATTACAAACGTACGCCAAACATGGTTTGGGAATTCAATTCATTTTATTTCTTAAGATTTGAATATGACATACCAAACACAAGAATTCATTTGACAATGAATTATATATGGTAATTCATTTTAAAATGAAATGAATTCTAGATTCATTTGGTATCAAACGGTATGTTAGAAATCAAACACAAGATTCTGTGTTGGAAGGACACCCAACAAGCCCAAGGAAGTCATGGCACACTACTGTATGCAACGGGGATAAAGCATAATGGTGCAATGTGATCCCAAAACGCTCTTACATATCCAGATCTTTGGACTTCATTTCGGTTGGGAGTTTCCAATCGAAATGATAAAGTAAGTTGGCCAGTTCAAGTTGAACGAAAACTATATCAAAAGATATTCATGAACACATTTTCCTTCCCGCGCCACAACGAAATGGAATTCAAAGTCTTGTTCCTTTATATCCATCGATCAATCAAGAACTCTTTCCAAGAGATTCATTCAATGCAAGAATTTTACCATATTCAGCTAATGAACTTAGCAACTAACTGATACAAACCAAGGGTGAGAGGGGTGAGGGCGGGTTGGCCAGTCGGTTGGGTAGAGTAGGAATGACCATTTTGTTATTTTCCATTGAACTCATAAAAAGGGGTTCTGTACACTCATTTAGGAATTAAGCAAAGAATAACAGAAATCCCTAATTCTATCTTTCTCTGGTTCTTCCCCAATCCTCTCAAATCCCTAATCTTCTTCTCTTCAATCCCTAATTCCATTCTTAATCCCCTTTCTTCTCAACAAGCATCTATCACTAACTTCTGCAGATTTTGAGCAGTACAAACTACCTCTTGTTGTATATAATAATGGTTCCAATAAGGATCGATTTCACAGCTGAAAGGTTCTAGCAATGACTGATTAATAATCACAAACGATTGATTCATTAAGAAGGGGATAACGATGGAGCCATACAGTAGTAAAGCTACATTGTACAGCAGTTCCAGACATGAAAACTACAACATTAAAACCGATTACAACAACAACAAATAGAGGTAATTAATATGAAATTCCACTCTCTTACGGACATCCTTTATTTAAGTGGCTCACTCCCATAAACTCTTGGATCAAACAAAGACGACAGCAATAGTACTCACGACCTTGTATCCATCATCACCAATGGAGTTCCAGACCAAGGAACCTTGGCCAATGATACTGCTTCTTGTCACATTCTCCAACCTGGTAAATGTCACAGTATAGCTCGCTTTGTCGTTCAGATCTTCGAACCTGATCACACTAGGCATGACTTTGACATCAACCCCTTGAGGCGACAAAACCTTACTGAAGTACGTCGAGAAAGGCCGACCCACATTAGTAACAGTTCGATTGTAAGTCATCTGATCACCGGCACCCAATACCATCGAAAATGTTGGGTAGTTCAGCTGAGCCCCCGGTATCAAAGTTGGAGTCGAGCAATTCACCTTTCTCTGCACGATATATCTCACCTGCTGCTCGCTGTAACCCAACCCACAGAGGTAAGGAATGTAATCATCCGGCTCGATATCATAAACCAGACCAGGGTTCAATGCCCTCAATATGTGGACATGACCCGAACCCATGTCGAACACTGTGGCAGAAACATTCTGCTCGGTGGAGATCGGGTTGCCATTGAGATCAGCGGTGTAGGCAGTGGTCAAGATGGCCGACTTGATAGCTGCAGGGGACCAATCTGGATGAGCACTCTTGATCAGAGCTGCAACTCCACTCAAATGTGGGCATGACATTGAAGTTCCTGAGATCACATTGAATGGGTTCGTAGCTTCGTCGATTGAGACTCCCCAAGCAGACAGAATGTTGAGCCCGGGGCCAACTATGTCGGGCTTCAGGATCCCTGGAGATTGCGTGCTAGGACCTCGGGAAGAGAAGGAGGCCATTTGTGGAGCAGGTTGTGACTTGCCAATCAAGGTACCTTGGAATGAGATTGTTGCAGTGGGAGATTGCGTGGATATCAAGTAATTTTTTAGTACCAATCCATCCTTGTAACTGATGTGTGATGCGGGAAGGACATTGGCTACAGCAAGAGTAGAGTATCCATCAGCCTGCTCGTTGAACACGATCATGGCTGCGCCACCATTGTCCTTCACTTCTTTACCCTGATCCTCGATTCTCAATTGTCCCATGTGGCATATAACTATCTTGCCTTTAACATCAATGTTCTTGAGTGACCCTTTCTCACAAAATGCTGCTGATTCATTATTGCTAATTGCAGCAGGATGGACGATTGGGAGTGGCTGCCGTGGATGGAAGTCTTTAGGCTGGAAGAGGGATTGGCCATGGAGCTCCACATTGTTCCCCAAATTCACCGTAGCTCTGATCTCCCTATCGATCGTGCTCGCTCCGACGGTTAGAATCCATGGCGCATCGTTGATTACTGTACTCGGATAAGGTCCATCATTTCCAGCTGAGCAGCTCACAAAGATGCCCTTTTGAATGGCTCTAAATGCACCCAATGCAATCACGTCGTAGTAGAATGGAAAAGGAGAGGGAGGTCCAATGGAGATTGACAGCAGATCAACGCCATCATCAATAGCAGCATCGATTGCTGCCAATAAGTCACCATCGTCGCAGGTCACTGCACAGGCCTTGTACATTGCCACATGGGCTCTAGGCGCGATCCCCGTGGCTGTCCCATTCGCTTGTCCAAACACGTTGGCACCTTCTACAGGGCACCCTGCAGCTATCCCTGAAGTATGACTCCCATGGTAGGCTTCTTCCCACGGGAGATCGATACCTCGAACAGTAGAGACGAAGCTTCGAGCACCAATGAGCTTGTTGTTACATGTTTGCTTGCCGTTGAAGTCACACCTGCCTCTCCATCTGGCAGGCGGGGGAGGCATGCCTTTGTCGGAGAAAGAAGGGTGATCATACTTTATCCCCGAATCAATCATCCCAATGATCACTCCCTCTCCATAATTTGAGGCGTTCCCAGCTCGTAGAATATTCTGTGGCAGGCCCAAAAACTTGGGAGTGAAGGTTGTGTGTAGTGGGAAAGATCGTTGGACTCGGGCCGAGATGAAGCCTTCCTTCTGTTCCATTGCTTTGGCTTCCTGCGGTGTGAGCCTAGCCGCAAAGCCTGTGATCACATTACGGTAGGAGTGGACGATTCGTTGTTGGTTCGAGCTTAGGCTTGCAGTTGTCTCTGGGAGGAATGTGGTGTACCAGTCATGTAGATTGGATTCTAGTAGGCCTGCTGGTTTCTCAACAGAGACAATGTAGGTTTCCAAGTCGGTTTCTCCAGAAGCCGATGCTTCCTGAGAGAAGGAGGAGAAGAAGAATGTGGAAGTTAAAGTGAGGAAGATGAGGAAAAGGGTTTTCATTTTTACTTGTTTTTCTTTTAGTGACTAAGCTGGTTTAACTTTAGGCTGCTTCCTGATACTGGAACTTGAACCTTGATCATCAATATATAGTGACAAAGCCAGTCAAAAGTAATATTTTGGCCCTTTTTAACTCGTTACTGAAGAGGGTTTGGGTTTTGAAACAAAGGTAAAAACCATCTCTATTTGGGTCACTGTCTGCAAGATGCATCAGTGAGATATTCCTTATGTAAAAGACAAACCAGCAGGTGGCAGGCACTGTCTGTGTAATTTCTATTTATGATACTAGTTAAGGAAGCAGTAATGAGTAACATATGGCAAATTGTTATCTTGTACGTTAGAAAGTGCTGCATTATTCACTGGTTTATTATCTGGTTTGAGAGGTGGGGAATTTCGAAAATGGGTTTTTCTGCTATGAGGATTACTTCCACACATAAATGTTCCATGCATGGCTGGCTGAAGTCTTAACGTTATTCAACTTACTAATATGCTTCCATAACTACTTTTGTTTTTGTCATATAATGGGTTGAAAATGCTTTGGACTTAGCTTGGATTTCACAGGGTATGTAGGGTATATGCTGAGTAATAATACGTGGGATAAGTGTAATCATGCTCATAAATTCATAATAGATAGTGATGGATAAACTACTGTGTTATTTGGAGTGCGAAGGGCAGGTTGTTTTGGGTCACTTGTGTTCTCTCATGATAATAACTCGGAAATATAACTTCAATCTGTATCGGCCAACGTTCATGAATGAATACTATCCATTCTTATTCGGTGTTAAGAATGGATTGGGGTTGATATATGGAAGTCTATATTTAAAGTGATTTTTGAATT